CTATTGAGGCCAGATAGAAGACAGGGAAAGTCATGAGGCCTCAAGGAGGGGCACAGATGTGATCTTAGTTTGTCAATGGCTGTAATCAGTGTTTCTTCAAAACTAACAGCTGTGAAAATTGCCTGTATAGAGGCAATAAATAAATAAATAAATAAATAAGTAAATGCTGCCCCTTTCTGATGATTCCTCCAACACTATTGTTAAAACAGCCAAGGAATCAACCAGATACAAATGCTTCTTCTTCTTCTTCTTCTTCTTCTTCTTCTTCTTCTTCTTCTTCTTCTTCTTCTTCTTCTTCTTCTCCTCCTCCTTCTTCTTCTCCTTCTTCTTCTCCTTCTTCTTTTTTAATTTATTTATTAGTTCTAGTTAGGGAACAAGCTTGTTTCACATGTAAGTCCCTTCTCCCTCTCCCTCCCCTCACCCCCATCCCTCCTCCTCCAACCCCAACCTACCCCCCACCCCATCCACCTACCACCTACCACCTACCACCTACCCCAGGCAGGGTAGGGCCCTCAATGGGGGCTCTGCAAAGTCCACCAAATCTTCTTATTTTTTAAGACAAGTTTTCTCTGTATAACAGCCCTGGTTGTCCTGGAACTCACTTTGTAGACCAGACTGTCCTCGAACTCACAAAGAACTGCCTGACTTTGCCTCCTAAGTGCTGGTATTAAAGGTGTGTGCCACCATGCCTGGTGATGCTTCTCTTTTTTTAAAGGATATTTTTACTTTATGTTTGGATGTTTTGCCTGTATGTATGTGAACCACATGTATTCAGTGCCCGTGGAGGCCCGGAGAGGGTGTTAGAACCCTTGGAGTTGCAGATGGTGAGCTGCCTTGTGGGTGTTGGGAACTGAACTCAGGGCCTTTGCTAGAACAGTAAGTTCCCTTACTCGCTAAGGTATCTCTCCAGCTCCCCAGATCCTTTCTTAATAAACCTCAACTTGGCTTCATTCTGGGTAGCCCTGGGATTCTTTTCTGTATGAACCAAGATCCCAACTGCACCTGAGTGGACAGCCCTGTGGGAAAATCCTGCTGGCAACATTGAGTTCCTCTTCTAAGACTGGTGATCCTGTGACATACCCAAGACACAATGGAAAGTAGCTGGCCCAGCTGAACCTGGGCTAGGTCTGCCATGCTCTCAGCCTGGGTCCTGTTGCTGGACTGTGGCACTGCTAGCTGAAGCCTTAAAAGGGTCTGCAGGCCATTTACTGCTAATTGTCATTGGACAGAATTTGGGATCATGGGGGACACGGACCTCTGGGCATACCTGTGCAGGGGAGGGTGGGCAGTAGTACCTTGATTGTCACAGTCAACTGATATGGGAAAGTCTGCTCACTGTGGGTAGCACCATTCCTTGACTGGGACTCTGGACTGTGTGGAGAAAGGGTTGGACAGATAGCAGCACGCATTCTCCTTTCCTGTCCTGTCTATGGACAGCAATATGGTTAGCTGCTTCAAGCGGCTGACTCCAAACTTCCTCTGAAATGATGGATTATGACCTTGTACTGTGAGCTAAGGTAAACCCTCTTCCTCTTAAGATGCTCCTACCGGAGGATTTTAACACAGGAACAGGAGAAGAGTGAAAACAGGAAGGCCGGAAACATATCTCAGTTGGTACGGGATCTGCCAAGCAAGCACGAGGACCTGAGCATTACATACAAGCTGAATACCACGGTAAACACCTTATGTAACCTCAGTGCTGGTAGGGTGTAGACAGACAAAGACATTCAGCACTGACCTCTAGATGGAATGCTGGTGGCCTTCAGTCAGAGCACCACCATTCTCCACCCTTCACCTCCCCTGCAGCCTAGACATGCCATCCGCCCCAAAGGCTTGCAGGGTCTGGCTACCTCTAGACATTTCCACACATCCCCCATGCTAATGGCCCCACTGCACCATCATCTCAGCTCAGGGGAGTGGCCCGCTGCCCCGGGTGCCTCACACCAGATATGCTCATCCCTGTTAGTCACAGTTGGTATGGTAGAAGACGGAAGGCTTCCTAGTACCCCATCCCTGTCCCACCCTTTCGTGCAACCCACGGTCAGCTCTGGCCCAGGGACCTTTGCTCTATGGGAATAGACAATGTCTGGGAGCCCAGTCATGCTGTGACTTCAGGTTTTGCTCCATCTCTGAGTTTAATCTTCCCCTCTGACTTCCCTTGCTATTTTCCCCAACTCATCCCTTTTTCTGTAACGTCACAGACATTTTGGACTCCCAGAGCATATGACAGACCATAGGTCAGATGCATGAGCCACAGCCCCGAGGGCCTCCCTTGCTGAGGGCTGTAGACTAGACTGACACAGGCCCCTGAGGGCTTCCCTGGGGCTTCTGGAGACAAAGCTAGCCTGAGTCTTGGAAGAATCAGCCTAGGTCTTTTATCTAGAGCTCTTGACTGTGTGAAGTCAGGCATGTCACTTCACCTCTTTGGACCTTTGTTACCTCATTTAACAAACGGCAAAAAGCATGTAGCAAGGCTTCAACAGGACACATGACCATAAATGGAGTATTCAAGCACCCAAAAGCTCACCTTTGTCACCACTGTGAGATTGAATCATCCCTTCAGATGAGAGACCAAGTAAGTACCCAGGGCTATAGGACTCAGCACTCTGACCCAGGCACACACACAGAGGCCTTGGGGGACAGGGAACCCTTTGGAACACCCCCAGCAAACAGTGTTCAGCATTTGTGACCTGCTTCCCATCCCTGGGGAGCCTCATTTTGTGAGGAGGCACCAGATCCTTGTGATTGGTGATGTTTACTGATTCTGTGTGTGTATGTGACCAACACCAGGCAGACAATGTCTAATCCCCCAGCTGGGGACCCATCCACCTCGTAGACGGAGGGACCAGAGCTCAGAGTTTGGGGCTGGAGAGATGGCTCAATGTTTAAGAGCACTGACTGCTCTTTCAGAGGACTGAGGTCCTCTGAATTCCCAGCACCTACATGGCAGCTCACAACTGTCTGTAACTCCAGTTCCAGAGACCTGACATCCATGGCAAAACACCAATGCACATACAATAAAAATATCTATTTTTATTAAAAAGAAAGAAAGCTCAGAGCTCAGAGTGGCCGAGGGACCCTGGTAATAGGACTGGAAACCAAGTCTCTAGGTCTGCTCTGCCTTGGCCCCTGCCTACCACCTTCCCTGAAGCCAGTCCTGGTTTAACCATCCCAGCCCTGTATGGCTCAAGGCTCTGAGTCACTCAAGTGGCTATAGTTCTGTGGAAAAAGACAGAGGAAGGATGCAGGGCTGGCTTCTGGGTGAGGGGCAAGTCTTCAGTTTCATGCCGAGTCCCTTGTAGGCACCGGGAATAACTGATGGGATGTCCTCCCACAATCTGCTCAGTGAGTCACTGCCTGCTAACTAACCCTTGCCCTAGTCCTGTCAATGTCTGACCCCACACAGACCTCTCAAACCCTGCATGGCAACATGATGCATGCCTCCACCTTACAGGTGGGAACTTGAGATACAATGATTAAGCCACACCACTGTGGAAGTAACACAGACAGGACTTCAGGAGCAGGGGCTGCTGCCAAAATAATAGGGGCACTATGGTGACAAGGGTGACAGGCCTCCACATCAGCCATAGAGGGGCTGGTTGGGAGCCCTACAGCAGGAGTAGTAAGGGGCTGGACAACTTCACAGCATTCCTGTCCTCTGAGGTACTTAGGGTGGGGACAAAGGTGGGAAGAATGTACCCTCCTGGAATGAGAAAGGTCAGCAGAGGCATCTCTGCCTTTCTGACACCCTGGGGACACCAGGCCCTTAGGCTAACCTGGGCTTAAGAGTCCTTAGGTATTGGCCATTTTGGCTAAGCCCCATTCCACTTGTGTGGAATGAATTCTTGCCCTTGTTCTTCACAAGACAGAATGGAAGCCCCCAGAGGTGAGATGCCTTCTTGAATTCCTAGCGGTCAGGGCCAGAATGGGCACTCAGGGTTAGCCTCTTAGCTGTCAGTCACTCACCAACTCTTCCCTCTGATCCTTCACCAGCCACAGGGAGCAATTCTATAACAACAACCATAAAGCAGAGTGACCCAGAGCCCCCCAAAACTGTGTGGGTTAGTTCTGGCTGCCAGAGTGACATTCAAACAGAGCTCCAGGGTGTCCTCTCAGACCAAAGTGGCCAGTCATGTAAAGTGTTCCAGAAAAAGGGCTGGAGGGAACCCACAGGACTCTTCAGGAAGCCCCTCCCCACTCAGACTTTGGAGTGGTAAAGGATTGTAACAGGCTGTCACACCAGATGAGCTAGGATGGGAGATGGCCCATGGTAAGGGGCAGAGGTACCGTCCCTGGAAAGGGGTTCTTCCTGCTTTAGTTCACAGTGGGCTAGCTACAAACATGGGGAGCACAGGGAAGGAGGAAAGAAGGGGATAGGTGAGTGGGTGAGGGAGCAATGGGTGGGTGGGGGATTAACGGAATGAGTGACTGGGTGGGACAGGAAGGGTATGGGTGTCTGTGGGTGTCCACAAGCCAGTCAGTACCTGTGCCCCTGTCTGCCAAGAGTCTATAAGCTCCCACCTCCAGATACCGATTCACTTGAGGGCTGTATGTGGCTTAGTTGGAACCCAGCCTCATGTCTAGGTGTGTCTGCATCCTGGCTGATCTAATCACTGTGTCTCCAAAATTGTGAGTGGATTCTGTGGGATTCTGCATGGATCTCTATGTCTGTCTGTCTGTCTGGTTGTGTGTGCCTGCCCCATGTGCATGTGTGTGTGGTGTGTGTAAGTGTATGTGTTGTGTATGCACGTTTGCAAATGCATGTGGTGTGTAAGTATGTGTGTATCTGTGTGTGTGGTATGTGTGGTGTGTGGTATGAGCATATATGTGTGTGAAGGGGTGCGTGTTTTGGGCCACTGATCTAGCCTGTGAATCATTTCTGTGTATTGCGTGTTCAGTGGCCCTGGTCTGGTTTGGGTGTATATCGCCGTTCAGGGTTCTGTTCCAAGATCGCTCTGTGTCCGGCAGGGGGTGCCCTTGGCCGTCTTGGTCTCCGAAGTGACTGCCCCGAGTGTCCGCCCCGCCCCGCTGGGGCCCGCCCGGCCATGGGCTATAAGTTCGCGCCGGGCAGCTGGCCCGCAGCACCGCGCTGGTGGTCCGCGCCCCGAGTGTCCCACCGCGTCTGAGCTGTCGCCGCTAATCTGGTCATGGCCGAGGGTGAGTGCCTGGGCAGCAGGGTGGTGAGGTCGGGAGCAGACTGGACTGTCTCCAAGTCCCCAGAGGAGAACAACATGTGGGCCAATGGGAGGGACCTCGCTTGCTCTAAGTTGTCAACGACCTTCCTACCTTCCTTCCCGCAATCCTGGGGCACAGCTGTTAGCCCTGCCCCTGAATGAGGTGAAAATGCTACCAGAAGGTGTCCCTGGAAGGGTAAGGTACTGTCACCTTTCCTTGACTACCTAGTTAGAACTGTGTCCCTACCATGTGTCAGGTACAGAGATGCTGGCAGGCATGGGGTCCTTGGTTCTCCTTGGTGCCTGGTGAGGGGTGCAGCCTTCCTGGCTGATTCTGTGGTCTCAAGTTGAAGGAACATTCCAGCATTTAGTGGGGCACCTCGGAAGCCAGGCCCTGTTCTCTCAAGTCCCTTTGAGCCTTCATGTTCTCTAAGCCCAGACCTTGGCCACCTGTTGAAGCTCAGTGTTTCCTGTTGTAAGTTGGGGGCAGTAGTGCCAGCCTTGGTGCTCCCACGAGGGCGAGAAGCGTGGAAAGGACTAGCCCTACTATGCGGCCTTGGACACTCCTTTCTCTGAAACCCCAACAGGCTATGATATGTCACAGAGGCCCCTTCTGTTGCAAGCAGGACCTTGTGATTGAAAGCACTGGAGATATTTAGCCTTGTCAGACTCCTGTGACCATGGGAAACTGTGGGCTTGAAAAGGTCAGGGCTGTGCCTTATAGAGGTAAAAGAGTGTCACCAGAGTCTAGGGAAGGTCCCAGGGGTACAGAGCCCCCATATGCAGGGAGTGGGATTGTATCACTGAAGACCACAGCTCTCTGAGAGATGCCACAGTGGCTCATGCCTGTCCCCTGTTTCTTTCTCTGTAGAGCTGCTCCTGGAGAGGTGTGACTTGGAGATACAAGCCAATGGCCGTGACCACCACACGGCCGACCTATGCCATGAAAAGCTGGTGCTTCGTCGTGGCCAGCGATTCCGGCTGACGCTCTACTTTGTGGGCCGAGGCTATGAGGCCAGTGTGGACAGCCTTACATTTGGTGCTGTGACAGGTGGGTACCTTTGATCTCCTTTGTGTCCTGCTTTTGATAGGCCACAGGACAGATGAATTCCCACCTCTTTTCACAGTCTCTCCCATCCTGTGAGAATCTCAGTTGTCATTAGCCCCATTTTACAGATCAGAAAACGAGGCCCAGAATGGAGAGTGGAGTGGCCACCACAGGTCACCCAAGCCTTTATACTGGGTTGCCACTTTCCACAGCTTTCTGCCTTAAAGGTTCATCACAATTTTGTAGGTAACTTTTCTTTCCTGCTAGCCAGTTCCCTAATATCCACACAGAGACTTTTTTTTTCTCGAGACAGGGTTTCTCTGTGGCTTTGGAAGCTGTCCAGGAACTAGCTCTTGTAGACCAGACTGGTCTTGAACTCACAGAGATGCGTCTGCCTCTGCCTCTGCCCCAGAGTGCTGGGATTAAAAGCGTGTGCCACCACCACCCGGCTTCACACAGAGACTTATTACTAATTATAAATGCTTGACTGATAGCTTAGGCTTGTCTCCAGCCAGCTCTTACAACTTAAACGAACCCATTTCTATTCATCTGTGTGCCACCCGAGGCTCGTCTACCTCATCTATGAACTTCCCCCTGTTGCTTCTTCCGAGTCTGGCTTTTGATCCCTCCAACTCTGGCCTCCTTCTTCCCAGCATTCTCTCTGCCCCGAAAAAGCTACCTAACTGTTGGCCAACCAACTTTTTATTAACAATGAGAGCAACACACCTTCACAGTGAACAAAAGGATTATTCCACAGCGTGATCCAGCATAATGTTTCCCATAGCAAACAACTTTCTGTCTTTTCTCACCAGGGTTTCCTAGAACCCACGAGGCCTCTGGGATCTGGTTTAAACCAGTTCTGGGTAGTGGGGAAAGAGTCCTATCAAAGGTAGGGTGGACTGCTGACCTACTGTGTGACATTAAGACACTTGGCTTCTCTGAGCCTAAGTTTCAACAGCAATTCACACTGGAGGGTTAAGTAAGATGGCCTGCTGTCTCATTCCAGGGGCTCCTGGGATGGGCAAAGAGAGTTGGACCCTGTCCATCCTGTTCCCAATCTCTCTGGCTGACTGTTCCTAGGAAGCTGGCCTTGAGTGTCAAATCAGTTGTCTGGCTTCTGGTAGGAACCTCTCCCTTAGGGTCAGCAAGGGGTCACCTGACTGGGATTCTGGCCCAAGGGTGTTAAAGGCCAGCTTTCTCCGGTGTTGGTGGTAGAAAGAGTGGCAGGCAGGAGCTGCCGACCCAGCCCAGCTGAAGTCTTTCTATCTAAGGGCCGTTTGATAAGCTTATCTCGGGGTTTGCAGGCTGCCAGGATATCCCCTCCATCCCTTCCACCTCCCTCCTCATCCACAGATGAAACCATTGCCCAGGTCACCCCACTCCAGAACCTGTAGGGCTCTTTCTAGCCACTGAAGGGTCCTAGCCAGTATCTGGCCTTCCAGCCCCTGCGGGGTAGAAGGTTGGCAGCATGCAGTTGTGCAGGGCTGGATCATGCTTGGGAAGGTGACACACAGAGTGGGACCGTGCACGTGCCCACTCCAATGCCCCCAGTGTGGAAGCATAATGGGCTCCCATTTTACAGACAGGGAGCTTGAGGTAAGGCTAGATGATCTAGTAACTCACTCAGTGGGTCACGAGATGGTTAGAAGCATTGCAGGCTTCAGTCCCTGACCCAGCTGTGAGTTGAGGCTCTCTGTCACTTAACCCAGTGTCCACCTGAGCTGTCAGCTTGAGCAGCCTGTGAGCGCCCATTTTCTGTCTCCTTCCAGACACAAACTCTTCCTTCTCCATCTCCACGGTGTGCGGAGTGTAGCAGAGGTGCTTAGCATCCTGAATTCAGTGCTGGGAGGTACGCTGACCTCCTGAACCCTGCAGCTAATCTCTGTTCTCCAGTCCCCGTGGGTCACTTCCATCTGTAGGCAGTCATGGCTTCTTTGTCCACTATCCAAGACCCTCCCAGGGGCCTGGGAAGCCTGAGGGACAATACTAGGAAGCCAGGCTCCTACCTCCAGGCCAGGCTTGAGTCAGTGCCCAGCTCAAGCCTGGCTGGGGACCTCCTTCTCCATTAGAAGTCTGTAATTTATGCTCAGCTGGTCCTAGCACTTCAGAGAAACTGAGGCCACTCAGTGAAGGAATTTGGGGCCCCACCCCAGCTGTTTATTTTTCCCTAAGCAGTTTGGGTCTGGTGGGCTCTGCAGCACTCTTGGGTCACAGTGAACAAACAACCCTTGTTAAAGGATGAAGCATTCCCCTTCTGGAGGGTGGAGGCATGAGATGAGGCCAGCCCAAGGGGGTGAAGGGAGCAGTTGTGAGGCTAATTGAAGGTGTTGCCCTAGAAGCCTCACTTGCTCCAGCCTAGCCTGTCATCATGCTCTGGAAAGTGCCAAGACCCCTTGGTTCTCTAGAGTTACATGGATCTAAAGTGCTCATCATGGAACCTTTGACCTCACCAAGATTACCTTGTAGAATCACAGCCAGGAACTTTGCAATGACAAAGCAGTGGTGGGACCAGGGGACAGTGTGTCCTTACCTGTCCTCCAGCAAGCCCTGTTGGAAGAAAGGTGTGTGTGTGTGTGTGTGTGTGTGTGTGTGTGTGTGTGTGTGTGTGTACATTCACAAGTACGCGTATGACTGTTCCGGATAGAGAGGTAGGATGTGTGTTTCCTGACTTGCCCTAGGGATAGTATGTCAACAGAGACAGTGCCAGTGGGACCTGACCCAGGCAGGTTACCAGAGTGACCAGATAATTGATCATCCAAACAGGGACATTTCTGAGTAGGGAAGGGCAGTGGTCAGGCTGTGCTGGGGCTGCAAGCATAACTGCCACTGACCCACCCCACCCACTCCTCCAGCCTTACTCCCTGTACCTCAGTTCCCACAGCCATGGAGTTATTTCATTGTGCTAAAAGCATCTGTTTTGTGTCGCAGCCCTCAGAGCCTTCTTCTCTCTGGCCTGAGAACTCAGATGCCTTGCATCCCTTTGGAAGGAGCATGTCCCTGCTCTAAATGCTTTCCGTGGGCCCTCCCTGAACCCACCAGCTGTGTCGGGACACAGTAGTGAGAAGAATAGGCCATAGTAACTGTTTACTGAGTACTTGCTGTGTGCCAGGCTTGCCTTCTTGAAGCTTCTTGGCAACCTTAGAAGGAGTGACTTCATTTCATAGACAGAGGAAAGCCCCATGTCACAAACAGTGCAACTCTGGCTTATAGAAACAAGTCCCTTGCTACAAGGTTGCAAGCCAGTTTCAAACTTGAGACTGGAACTTCTGAGGCATGTGGCCCAAGCCTGTTTCTTAGATGACGATACTGTGGGTCAGAGAAGCCTGGGTTCTTGGCTTAGATTGCACAGTGCTGGGTTGGGGTAGAGGTGGGGACTAAACTCAGGGTAGCTCTCTTGAGTCCCAGGCTAGCTGGCTCCTTTCCAAATGTCAACTCTGGAAGGGAGGGAGGGTTTGGATGCCTCCACCTCAGCCCCTGGCACCCAGGCAGCCTCTTGAGGCCTGTGTCATGCCTATTAGTTCACGGTTATATTTGGGCCTGAGTGCAGTGGTGCTGGCAGGCAGGGAGGAGGGGCGGAGGCTGGGAGGGAGCCCCTCAGTGAGCAGGCCCCAATATTGTCAGCGGTGGATGGCAGAGCCACAGGGAGGGGGTGGGTGGAGAAATAAAAATAAACCTCCAGGCTGCCTCCCAGCTAGCCAGAAAGCTCCTCTGTTTCTCTGCTCTCAGCCCAAGGCCAAAGTGACCAGCCCCGCCCTCTTGTGACTCAGGCCTGCCTGTGTGGGCCAGGCCACCCCTTACCTGGAAAAGGTCTGTGCAGACCATGACACAGGTCCTTTGCAACCCATCAGGAAATAGCATCTTTGGAAATCAAGTAGTGTGGCAGTACCAGGGCCTCAAGACCCCAGAAACCCAAGGTCTCCCAAAAGCCTCCTCTCCGGGCCTCGTTTCTCCACTCTCTAGCAGTTGAAGGGAACCCCAAAGAATCATTGCTGTGTGTAAGATGTACGGGGCTATAGGGAAGTTATGGTCCTCATGTGCCGCTCATGAGATTTGAACCCGAAGCCAGAGGGTCCCTGGTAGGCCAATGCCCCCTACCAGCCTGTAGCCAGGATCGCAGATGTTCAGCTCCTGTCTCAGAGTGTGCAGCTATCTTGGGAGGGGAAGAGTGGTGTGCAGGAGAGGGATCCAGACATAACAAGGGTCCTTGGCGATGTCTGCCTTCATTCCTGCTGGTGTCACAGACAGGCAAGCTGAACCTGTCTAACATCACCTCAGATCTGAGGTGGATAACCTCAGCTCTCCCAAGTTGTACTGTCCTTTCTGGGGACTCTCTGGTTGTAGACCCATCATGGTCCTATGACTGTTCAAGTGGGCTTGCAATGCCTACTTTGCCAATGAGAAAACAGGTTTAGAAGGGTGGAGCCTCTTGGCAGAGTTCCTCCAGTGGCTGGAGGTGGAACTGGGCCTTGACCCCAGGCCTGGGCGCCTAGCCTGGACAGTGTCCTGCCAGCCCTTCTCATTCACAGTTGTGCCATCTCCCCTCTGCAGGCCCAGCTCCCAGTGAAGAGACAGGGACCAAGGTCCGCTTCCCACTGTCTGACGATGTGCAGGAGGGATCCTGGACAGCCTCCGTGCTGGACCAACGGGACAATGTCCTCGCGCTGCAGCTCTGCACCCCAGCCAATGCTCCTGTCGGCCAGTACCGCCTCAGCCTGGAGGTCTCTTCTGGCTACCAAGGCTCCAGCTACGTTCTGGGCCATTTCATCCTGCTCTTCAATGCCTGGTGCCCAGGTGAGCCGTTTTCCATCTCAGGGGGATGGGAGTGGCGGGAACCAATAGAAGAAGCTACAAAGAGGATTGCTTGGGTGGGGCTATAGGTCAGCTCCTGTCCAACCTCAAACTAAGGATTCTTTTAGCATCCCAATTTACAGACAGGAAGCCAGGTGACTCATCCAGTACCAAAGGATGCAGTCCAGGTCTGGGGCCCATGAGTTCCTACAGCACTAGGAACCAGGTGTCTGAATCCATTTGGCTGCTGTGACAGAATCCCATAGACCACTTATAAGCATGGCTTATATTCTGGGGATCAGGAGGTACAAGATCAAGATTGTGGGTCACATCCAGTGAGGGCCTCCTTATTGTGACCCAACATGACAAAAAGCATCCCGTGGAGAGAGAGGGAGAGAGGATTGAACTCTTCTATAGCCACCCCAACCTCAAGGTAACTAACCTAGTCCTCGGCTAGGGACAGGAGTTCATTCACCAGTCCCTTCTCCTAATACCATTGCAATGCAAGAACCTCGGGGGCACAAGGTGGTGTGTGGTTCACGAATCTCCATTAGGGGAGAGGTACCCCCAGCTTATGGCCAGTGCCAGACACGGTGCTCATTGTATTCACAAGGCCCTGGTTTAAACTCATCCAGGTTGGCACCAGGATGGGAAACCGAGTGAGGCACAGCAGGACTTGAGTCTGGCTACTACTCAGCTATGACCTTACACAGCTGCCAGTATCCTTGTTGCCCAGACAGGAAACTGAGACTCAGAGAAGTGAAGTGACTCTTAGAAGCTCCTTCAGTCAGCCGGGGACAGTGGCAAAGAGGAAGTGAGAGAGGAGAGCTGGGAAAAGCCCAGGCCAGCCAGCCTCAGTTCCCCTATCTCAATGGTTTCCTTCTCGCTCTGACACAGTGAGGCAGGAGAAGACCCTCAGGCCGTCCAGTTTGGGAATCCAGCAGCCTTCCAGGCAAGGCCCCAAGTCTGGCCTCTCTGCTATTAGGCAACCTCTTCCTCTGGGTCATTACTTGTTTTCTTTCCTTCTCTATTTTGGGAAATTTTATGGCATATTTGATAGGGAGGCTTTTAAAATTCTTCTGCTGTGCCTACTTTGGCTTTTCTAGTTCTAACAGATGCCAGAACAGCCTTTTTTTATTTTTTATTCTATTTATTGATTTTCTGAGGCAGGGTCTCATGTAATTCAGGTTAGCCTCCAACTCACTGTAGCTGAGAATGGTCTTGAACTTCTGATCCTCCTACTTCTACACTCAGGTAAAAATATAGTCCCCGCCCCCCAACCCCCACTCCACTTTGTGAGGCTGGAGAGATGGCTAAGTGGTTAAAAGCACTGGCTAGTTTTCCAAAGGATCAGGGTTTGAGTCCCAGCACTCACACAGTGGATAACAACCATCTGTAACTCCAGTTCCAGGAGATCTGATGGCTCTTCTGACTTCCTTGGTGGTGCACATACATCTTCGCCAGCCAAACACCCATACACCCACCCACACACGCTCACACACACTCACACACTCACACACTCACATGCACACACATGCTCTCTCACACTCACACCCACATACACACTCACACACATACACACTCACACACACATGCATACTCACACACTCACACTCACACACACACAATGTTGTCTCTCTCACACACACACATACACACACACATACACACATACACACTCACACACATGCATACTCACACACTCACACACATACACACTCACACACATGCATACTCACACACTCACACACATACTCACTCACACACACTCACACACATGCATACTCACACACTCACACACATACACACTCACACACATACACACACACATACACACTTACACACTCACCCACATGCATACTCACACACTCACACTCACACACATGCTCTCTCACACTCACACACACAATGTTGTCTCACACACACATTCACACACATGCTCTCTCACACTCACACACACAATGTTGTCTCACACACACATTCACACACATGCTCTCTCACACTCACACACACAATGTTGTCTCACACACACATTCACACACATGCTCTCTCACACTCACACACACAATGTTGTCTCACACACACATTCACACACATGCTCTCTCACACTCACACACACAATGTTGTCTCACACACACATTCACACACATGCTCTCTCACACTCACACCCACATACACACTCACACACATACACACTCACACACAATGTTGTCTCTCTCTCTCACACACACATACACACACACATACACACTTACACACTCACACACATGCATACTCACACACTCACCCACATACACACTCACCCACATACACACTCACCCACATACACACTCACCCACATACACACTCACCCACATACACACTCACCCACATACACACTCACCCACATACACACTCACCCACATACACACTCACACACATACACACTCCCACACATGCATACTCACACACTCACACTCACACACATGCCCCCTCCCCCCCCCCCACACAATGTTGTCTCACACACACACTCACACACATGCTCTCTCACACTCACACACATGCATACTCACACACTCACATGTACACACATGATCTCTCACACTGACACACATTCACTCTTTCACACACACACACACTCACACACTCCCTCTCTCTCTCTCTCTCTCTCTCTCTCTCTCTCTCTCTCTCTCTCACACACACACACACACACACACACACACACACACACTACTCCAGGGACTCTGTTGTCTGCTGATTTAGGTTAATCTTAGCTCTGTCCATTCACACCTGAATAAATTGCTATTTCCAAGATGTCCTCTATCAAACATGAAAGGCCAGGCCTGGTATTGCGGGCCTATGAGCCTCATACTTGAAATCTGAGGCAGAAGGATTGTGAGTTCAAGGCCAGACTGGGCATCTTGGTCTCAAAATAAAAAGAGAAGGCTGGGGATGTAGCTCTTGAAGGCCTGGGTCCAATCGGCTAAAATCTGGGTTTTCCTGCAGTCATCTTCAGATCTGTGCACAGTTCTCTGAACATAGCTACACAGTCTTTCCAATAGTTCAAACACCTTGGACCTTGCCAACACAGACTGTGTCTGCTCGGTGCCCTATTAATGGTCCTGAGGTCATCCCCAGTGGTCTGTGGGGTGTCTCGCAGAGCATACAATGCAGTGGTGTTTGGAACAAAGGTGACTTTGCTGAGACAAACTACAGTTTGTTTGGGTGGAGGAAGAACTTTTGCCAACCCACAGGGTTTTAGAGTTCAGGGCAGGGAGAGGACAGCTCCTGGGGATGTCCCCCTTCCTCTGGCTCCGCCCTCACCCTGCCCTGAGGGTTGGAGTGGGTCTTAGCCAAGCAGTACAATGAATGACTAAGGTGATCCACATTGCAGGGTCTGGAGGAGGCAGGAAGTTGGACTCGGGTGGGGACAGCTATGGGGGAATTTTCAAGGATGGATGGGAAAGGGCTGGTTCTTCCTGTAAACGGGTGCCCCTGCCCTGGATCTAAGGCCACAGCATGCGTATGGCTTCATGTCCCCAGTGTACTCAAATTTACCAGAAGTCAGAGCCATGGTCCCAGTACCACTCGTGCTAACCACACTCCATGTGGCAACCCTGAATTTTACTTTCCCTTTTACTCTCCCTCCTTCACTCTGCACAGAGCTCAGTAATTTAAAGTTCCAGCTCTGGAGCCAAAGAGCAATGTGCCCAGAGTGCCCATCCCACTCACCTCCCTCCCTGCAATGCCGAGGTGCTGGGCACTACATAGATCTCGCTGGTGGTCTAACCTTGCCTCGCAGTAGCCCCTGGAGCCCTTTTCCCCAGCAGGTTCAGCAGGGACTGGGGTTTGCCTTTTTTTTTTTTTTTTTTTTTGACATGATGAAGATACTTTAATTTCTTTAAAGCAGGAGGGGGTGGTGGTGCTGGGGATTCACCTCAGTTGGTAAGATATTAGCCTAACATACACGAAGCCCTAGTTTGAATCCTAGCACCACAGAAGCGAGACAAGGTAACACACACTTGTGATGTTGGCACTCAAGAGACAGAAACAGGAGGATCAGAAATGCAAAGTCACCTTTAGCTACATAGGGAGTTTGAAGTCAACCTGGGATCCATGAGACCTTGCCTTTAAAAACATTTGTTGTTTAAGTGAATCGTTTCATTGTGTGATATCAAGACATCAAGCATAGTTAAATTTTCTCTGTGATGGGGGAGGAATTCAAGAAAATAGACACCCAGGATAGGGTTTCATCAGAATCACGGGGTCCTGGGTTTCTCCTCCCAGCCTCAAGCTCCCTGTCCATGGAGCAGACATCATAAAGCCAGCCTGACCACTAAGCCTCAGCCTCATTGGCCCTATTTCCTCCCCTCTAGTCATGGGGAACACTGCAACCCACACCTTCTCTGGGCCAAAGCCTTGACATGTGTCCTCAACTCATGCTGTCATCTTCCAGCCTCCTTAGCCATGTCTCATGGAGCATCCCTGACCCCAAAGCTGATCAGGCTCTGCCTCCCTAGGACAGTGGTGACCCTTCCATGGTATCTTTCTGGCTCTGGTACCTTCTTCCCTGCTGGTTTAGGGCTCTGTTCCCAGCAGGCCACGTCTGCCATACCTTTCACTTTCAGGCAGCACCAAGTGGTGCTGAGATGGGCTCACAGACCCAGTCACATTGAAAATGAGTGTCAGAGCTGGGCAGTGGTGATGCACGCCTCTAATCCCAGCACTCGGGAGGCAGAGGCAGGAGGCCAGCCTGGTCTACAGAGCGAGTTCCAGAACAGCAGGTTAAGCAGAGAAACCCTGTCTCAAAAAACAAAACAACAAAAGAGCATCAGGACCAAAGACTTCCTAGTCCAGCCCCCCCCCCCCCATCACTTATTTGGATGTTAGCTTTCTCAGCTGTGAAACATTTCTGAGCCTTGTTTAAGATGGGCAGAGTAAATGGGTTCATGTGTTCTGCTTTCATCACAGCTCTGGGCATGCTGGGAAGTGTAAGTATGGCAGCCTTGCCCCTAAACAATGAGTTTCTCTAATTGAGAGAGGCTTGGACTAGGGAATTAGCCTCCAGATGCCATGTTGCAAGACCCCTGACTTGTCGACTCAAGCTGAGCCTCCTTGCTTCTGTCCACAGCGGATGATGTATACCTGGACTCGGAGGAGCAGCGACGGGAATATGTCCTTACCCAACAGGGTTTCATCTACCAGGGCTCCGTCAAGTTCATCAAGAGTGTGCCTTGGAACTTTGGGCAGGTAGGGCAGTGCCTGTCCCTTTTGGTGACTGGCCTGTGTCTGAGGTGCCTGAGATTTCAAAATGTGAGGGGGTTAGAGTCACCCACCCCATCCTGTTAGAAATGCAGGTTGTCCATGTAGCTGTAGGCCCAGAGTGGTCTAAGGCTTGCCTAAGGTCACACAGCAGAGTCAGCATCCCTGGGCTCAGGGTGAGGGAAGGATGAGGAGAGTCTGTGGAGCAATGAAGCCAGCTGGCGTTCTTGGAGGAGGGGCAGTGAAGGCCCCTTGATATAGCGATGACACTCAGTGGATATTCAGTGTGTGCTCAGCCTGTGTCAGGAAGTGGGTGATAGTAACCTCTCTGGGATACCTGAAGACACAGGTGACCAAGCCACACCCCTAGCTTTTGATTAGGCAATCTGGGTAGGGCTGGCGTGTACCTTCTCAAGGCTTTCCCAGGGTTGCTGATGTTGCTGTCCAGAGAACATGTGTTTGTATCAGCCACTGCTCAGTAACAAACAAGCCTATCACATAAGCGGCTGAAAGTAATGACCATTGTCAGGTCATAGCTTCTTACAAATCGAGACCAGCCACAGAAAGCTATAGCATCCTGGCTGGGCTGGACTCAGTCAGCTAGCTGGCTACTACTGTTGTTTCCAGTTCCCAGCCAGGGCTGGTTCTGCAAAACTCAGATCTCATTTCCTTCATTACCCAGACTCCCAGAAGAGATCCTGTAGAGAAAACTTAGAAAGCAGAACCATGACATCCGGCCGCTGGCTCACTGGGGGTCAGCTAGGATGCAGCTCATCTTGAGATGTCCCTCTACCTGCCCTGCAGCCTCTGGTCAGAGTCTGGTGTTCAGACCCTCCTTGGGTGGAGCAAGGCCTTCCCGTATGCCTCGGGGTCACTCTGACCACAGCTTCCTCCTGAGGGATCATAGCCACAGAGATCCTACCAGGCAGCCTGGCTGTGGGAGTGAGTGAGCCGTGTCTCCATGACGCATAAACCTCACCCACAAATCAGTCTCAGCTCCCAGGGCTTTGCATCCTCTTCTGCGAAACAGGGCCACGTCCCTGCTTTGACCTTCAAGGTTCTACTTTGCAGAGACTTAACAGAGAGGAAGCCTCATTGCCCGTGGTGATCTGGGAGGGCTTCTAGAAGTAGGAAGCATTTGACCTGGGCTTTGAAGAGCAAGTAAGAGTTTGTCATACAAGAGGCTAGCTCTGTGGGGAAAACTCCAGAGGTGGGAAAACTTATATCCATTGTAGGTAAAGGAACCCCAAAAGGTGAGCTCACATGGGAAAAGTCCTGGTTGTAAATGTGGCTGATGGGAGTTACAGTAGGGAACTTCAGCAAGTCCTAGAGGGCTGTTGTGTAGCATGGAACAAGGCTTGATCCAGAACAGCACAAGATGAGGAGCAGAGGCAGGAAGGAGAACCCTTGAGGGGTCACATGGGCATGCCCCCCCCTTCACACCCATGTCCCCCAGATGTCACACTGATCCCTCCTTGGCCTTCAGCAGCTGGTATCCTGGGGATGCCCAGGACCAGCTGGACTCCATCTACTAGCAAGATGGAGTTGTGGCTCCCACAGCTATGGAGGTATAGGACAGCTTCCTGGAGAGGCTGGCATCCCAACTTCCTTTTCTGTTGTTTGCTTGGACACAGTTCGAAGATGGAATCCTAGACATCTGTCTGATGCTCTTGGATGTGAACCCCAAGTTCCTGAAGGACAGTGCCCGGGACTGCTCCCGCCGCCGCAGTCCCATCTATGTGGGCCGGGTGGTGAGTGGCATGGTGAGTGTGGGGGGCTCCAACAGGCTGTTCCCTTCTGGGGTGATGAGGCTATGCTCTTTGTTGGGGATGATGAGGACTTGGGGCAGAGGTAGGTCTCAGCAAATAAGTTTAGAAAGCTTTACACAAACAAGGTTCCCAATATAACTCATTTAGCCATTTCACCTAGCAAATATTGACCAATGGCCACTAATGTCCTGGGCACTAGGGTAGAGCTGAATCTAAAGCATATATGATCCCAAATCCCATAGTACTGTATTCTAGTGGGTGGGAGGACACAGACCCTAGTGGATTGAGGAATGAGTGCACAGGCATCACTCAATCATGCGTGTGCTGGGGGGACAGGGTGCGTGAGCAGCTAAGCACAGAGTCCCACCACAGGGAGGGGCTGAGGGGCTTCCCTCAGGTGTGGTCCTCAGAGCTGACTAGAAGGAAAAGATGCACAACCTGTGCTGAGGGCCTGAGGAGAGGCTGGAGCAGAGTGAACAAGGGGAGTGGGTGGGTCCAGAAAGAGCTGGGTGGACAGGGTCAGAGCATCCAAGGCCATATGGTCCACGACCAAAGGTTAGATTCTATTCTGGAAATAGTGGATGTTTGGGAAATATGTGAGGCCAGCATGGGTGTTTGGAAAACTTAAATCACACCATGCCACTTTTGAGTGACCCTGGATTCACAGAGCGGGTTCCGGCCCTGAATCAAATTCTTGGCCATGGCTTTGCTAGGGGTCTGCCTTCCTCTGTCTCCTGAGGCCTCCCTGACATCCGTCTGTCGCACCGTGGTACACTGTATCTGCACTCCCTCATCCTAGGATGGTTTGGCTTTGATCCCTTGCTGTGTACCTACTCCTCCTGACCTACCCTCCACCTCGGCCCAGGCTCTGCCTCCCATGATGCTCTGTTGATTGCAGGTCAACTGCAATGATGACCAGGGTGTACTTCTGGGCCGATGGGACAACAATTATGGGGATGGTGTCAGCCCCATGGCCTGGATTGGCAGCGTGGACATCCTGAGGCGGTGGAAGGAGCATGGCTGTCAGCAAGTCAAATACGGGCAATGCTGGGTGTTTGCAGCTGTAGCCTGCACAGGTGAGTTGTGGCTGGGTCGTCTGGGACCAGTCTCGGCCTCCAGTAGCCCATGGGGACCCAGGGAGACCCGATTTCAGTACTGTTTCTGCCATTACAATACCATGTGGCCTAGACAATATATGGCAACTAGCTGGTTCTTTTCCTGCCTCTCTTCTTCTCATGGATACCACACCCTGACCCTTTTTTCTAGAGCCTACACCTTCCCTCCAAGGGACCTCCTGAAGTCTCCTGGAGAGATCCCTTACCCCAGCCTCCCACCTAGGTGCCTTTATCTCTGGCTGTGGCCACCTTCTAGGCTAGTATGTAAAGAGATAGGGAAACACTCAGTCAAGTCCGCAGCTCAGAGACCCAGGGAGTAATGCTTAGTCTAACTGTCCAGTCTCTAGGTAGATTTTGTGGCAGAGAATCGGTGGCTCTAAGCCTCAGTTTCCCCACCTGAAAAATAGACACAGGGAGCCCTGAGGCGTGGGACAGTGCCACTCAACAGAGGCAAGAATGGCTTGGACTGGGGACCCAGGGCATCAAAGGCCCCAAGGCATCTTGGTTGCTCCCTGGGCATTTTATCAGTGCCTGGCCCTCAGCAACACTAACCACACTGATGTTTGCCTTGGAGGACATGTGACACACTGGCTGCCCCATAGTACTTCCCAGTGCTGCTCTGGGCATGAGGCAGAAGGGCCTGCCACACCCACTCCTTCTCTGAATCACCACATCCTAGCAAGATGCTATTATAAGTGCCTCTTCCCCAATGGGAAATGGGAGCTCAAAGAGAGGAAGTGACTTGCCCAGGATCACACAGCTGGCTTAGGGCACAGTCTGACCCTGAACCAGAATGTATGACTCTGGGGAAGCCCCAAGTCCATAGTCTGTGGTGATGAGGTCTCTCAGAACACTGTCCTGGGGACAGGAAGGGTACTGACTCTATGGCAGCAACCAGGCAACACAGAGCCTCCTGTCTGTACCTGGAGGTTCACTGCATACGGAACAAGGCCTAGGGCTTCCACCAGCTTCAGCTGAGGCTCAGGAATCAGGCAAGAGGTAGCGGTCACTGCTGTCCCTCCCCCTCCAAACACCTCTGTGTCTACTGGCCAGAAGCCAGGCCATCTGGGAAGCTCTTTCACAGGCCTATGTAGGGCAAAGGGCAAAGGCCACGCCCAACCTCCCCCTTCAAAGATTCAAAGTCAATCGAAACGAAAAGTATAACACAAGTCCCACGGCTATTGTTTACTGTGAACTCTTATCTGGCTTTATTTTTCAAACATTTACTTTCCTTTTCCCATTCCCGGAATCTGTCCCTTTAACAGCAAGGGCTAGGTATGTCTCAGGGTTACCCTGATTGCCTAGTGGGCCCAAGGTCCTTGCAAAGAGTTGGTAGAGTGCTTACCTAGCATATACAAGGCCCTGGTTTGAACCCCACCACCCCATAAACAGATGTTATAACAAATGCCCCACAATCTCAGAACACAGGAGATGAAGGCAGGAGGATCAGGAACAGAAATTCAATGTTCAAGAGTTCAAAGTCATCCTTGACTACATAGCTAGGCCAACCAGGGTTACATGAGACTCTGTCTCAAAAGAAATTAAAGTGGAGGGAGGCATTCACAATTCTTGCCCTCCTCTTTGTGATGAGCCTGCAGAGTTGAGCTTAGCCTACCCAACACCTTGCTCTGCCCTGCTGTTCCTGACCGGTTGTGACCTCCCTCATCACCTGCCCTTTGCTCCCAGGGCTTCCAGGCTAGAGTACTAGTACTAGGGTACTAGAGGTCAGTGTGGCTGGAGGAGATGAGGAATCAGGGGCCACAGCAGAGATCTGGCTTTAATGTCAGTGCTATGGGGAGCCACTGAAGGTTTTATTTGTATTTTAGAGTGATGAAAGAGGAACACAGTGGGCATGGGGTGACCAGCCAGGTAGGCATCATTGCCAGGCAATCATGACTGGTGCATAATCTCACCATCTGTTCAGTCCCTATGGAGGCCTGGGCAGGGCAGCTTTGTTCAGAGCCTCAGCAACAATGTGGGCCTTTCTTCATCTCCCCACTGCCCAATCTCCAGTGCTCCGGTGCCTTGGCATCCCTACCAGAGTGGTGACCAACTACAACTCAGCCCACGACCAGAACAGCAACCTGCTCATCGAGTACTTCCGTAATGAGTTCGGGGAGCTGGAAAGCAACAAGAGCGAGATGATCTGGTGAGGGGCCTGCAGTGAGACCAGGAGGGGAAACCTGCGAAGCTTCCTAGGATAGGCCACCGTTGAACTGGACCTCGATGGCTGAGCAGGAATGGACAGGGGAACTGGGCTGGATGGAGGCTGAGAGGCAGAAATCCTACCACAGACGGCCCTGGAAGGGATGGCAGGAGGAACGGGAGGGGCTGGGGGGTGTTATAAATACAGCACAAAGTGGGACTGTGGTGGATCCCATGGCAGAGGACAAACATGCTGTCAGGCAGAACATACAGGAGAAGGAAGTTTTATTGGGAAGGGAAGGGAGTGGTGGAAAAGAGAGAAGAAAAAGATAAAGAGAGAGGGACAGAGAGAAAAGAGAGGGGGGAGAGACAGAACAGAGATCTGTCTTCCTCCTCAGAGGGATATTGGAGAGCAAGGAGGTGGGTGGAGCTTGCCTCTTAAAGAAACCTTTGCACCTGTGTGCAGACTATGTAGTGACATAGCAGCCATAGAACCCTGAGCTGGCCAGGGTACTTGCCTGAATACATCTTGCAAGGTGATGGGGGCAGGACAGCATAATGCCTGAATCCTAACAGGGGTCTGGAATGTGAGTTGGGATCCTGGCTGGCTTCCAGGACTACTCTCAGCTTCAGAGTGGGAGAGGACTGAGACATCCCCAAAGACCCGGGCTGGAGCAGGGAGCTGGGGCTGGGGTGCTCAGGAGGTAGAGAGGGGGCCTGGACCAGGCAGGGAGTTAGGGCAGGATAGGAGCTAGAGCCAAGGAAGGAGAGGTTAGTGAGACCAAAGGGCTCCAGAGATTGTGGAAGGTCAGAGGACAAGGAGTCCCCACTAAGAAACTCACTACTGAGACAGCTCCTGGAGAGGCCAGAGAGGTGGGCTCAGGACTTCCTGGTTTCCCATAGGCCATGATGAGTAGGATCTGTAGGGAATGACCAAAAACACTGTCTTCTGACTCTGTCCCCAACTAGGAACTTCCACTGCTGGGTAGAGTCCTGGATGACCAGGCCGGACCTAGAGCCAGGCTATGAGGGGTGGCAGGCCATTGACCCCACACCGCAGGAGAAGAGCGAAGGTGAGTAGGGACAGCATTCCCTAGAGGGAAGCTAGGTGGAGGAGCTGCAGCATGGTGGGGCTGAGACGCCAACCTGAGGCCAGCAACGGCATGGCAGCACTTCATCAGTGTTCATAGTGTACTTCTTTATCATTTAGAAGTGCAGCATGCTCCTTGTACAGGAGGGAAAGTATAAACAAGCACAAAGAAAAGTAACATCTTCACCCTCCCCAAAATAGCATCATCAATTGATTCCAGCAATTCCAAATGTGATATGTGTGTGTGTGTGTGTGTGTGTGAGAGAGAGAGAGAGAGAGAGAGAGAGAGAGAGAGAGAGAGAGAGAGAGAGAGAGAGAGAGAGAGAGAGAGAGAGAGAGAGAGAGAAAGAGAGAGAGAGAGGCAGACAGACAGACAGACAGACAGACAGACAGACAGACAGCACCAAGGCAAGGTCTGACAAAGTGCATAGACATCCCCTTGGAATATTTTTTAAATGCACAGAACCCAAGGCATGGGGATCCAAAGAGCATCAACATTCTTAGAAAGATCTGGGAAAAAACCCTTTATGGCATAAGCAACGCTTGATCCTTACAGAGCAAGTTCTAGTCCTGGGGCCAGAGTATGTGACAGCCCCTGCTATCTGTAACAACTGCAAGGTGATGAGAAATGTCTCTGGTTCTTATTAGTGGCAGTTGTAAGTGCCCCTGTGCCTTGTCACTTTATTTTGCCATTAGAGGACAAGCTGCCAAAGCTCAGTAAGTTAGAGATGTCATTTTTCTACATCTATTGTCACTGTTGGAAGCTGGGCAGGGACTGTGAAGTTGGTGAAGAGTGACAGTGTTGGGTGGCCTCTTTGTAGTCTCGTCTGTATCCCAGGGTGACATTCCTGTGAGTTTCATTTTCATTTGCTGTGACAATGTCCCATCTTGGGACATGCCAGAATATCCCCACCCATCTCTGGCCCCTAACACTGTAGGTGTGGACAGCTTTACCTTGGTAAACCCAGGTCCCACATTCAGTATTGACTGAGACTAAGCTGTCATAGGCATTAATCTCCACTCAACATGCCCAGTTGGTGGAAGCAAGACCTGGCATCCTGGGGTTGTTAAGATGCCCTGGGATAGGTACATTTCTCTTTGACTTAGCCAAGACTGTGGAGTTTTAGACAGAGAACTTTACCTCTGTGGTTCATGGACCATCATTTGGTGGGTGCAGATACAACTCCACAGTGAAATGCAGTTTGGAGAAGTGACTGGCTTTCTCAAAGTCACACAGATAACAGCAGGCCACGCTCAAACTTGAATGCCAACATCTGGTTCTGGAGTCTGTGTCCTGGTGCATTCTGGGAATGGCTTCCCTGGTCAAAGAGTTGTCTGGTCCTGGGAGCTTCTGTTGCATGTGGGACAATCGTGGACGGGTCTGGTGTCACCCTCTGTGTAGCTCTGCCCATTCCTCCCTCTTATCGCAAACAGGGACATACTGCTGTGGCCCAGTCTCAGTGCGGGCCATCAAGGAGGGTGACCTGAGCACCAAGTACGACGCACCCTTTGTGTTTGCCGAGGTCAACGCTGATGTGGTGGACTGGATCCGGCAGGAAGATGGATCAGTTCACAAATCCATCAACCGCTCCTTGATTGTGGGGCAGAAGATCAGCACGAAGAGTGTGGGCCGTGATGAGCGGGAGGACATCACCCACACCTACAAGTACCCAGAAGGTAGGCATCCACACCCTCGAGCCTTCAACCTAGCCTTGCAGATGAGCAGCTCATTTGCCCGTCAGCCTTGTGTGTCACATTTGGCAACCTATGTATGTCAGTGACCCACATGTTGTGGTCTATCTTAAGAAACTCCTCAAGAGCAGGTGTAGACACTGAAGCATAGTAGTAAAAGGTTGTTTGTTTAGAAAATCATTCAACAAAAAGATTTCATCTGAGCATGTACACACGGGTGCATGCCTGTAATCCCAGCTACTTGGGAAGCTAAGACAGGAAAATCCTGAGTTCAAGACTTAACACAGTGAGGCCCTTTATCTCTTTTTCTAAATGATTTGTTTATTTTTGTTTCATATGCATTGGTGTTTTGCCTACATGTATGTCTGTATGAGGGTCCCGGCTCCCCAGAACTGGAGTTACAGACGGTTGTGAGCTGCCATGTGGTTGCTGGGAATTGAACCCAGGTCCCCTGGAAGAGAAGCCAGTGCTCTTTACTACTAAGCCATCTCTCCAACTCTGAGGTCCTTCATCTTTAAAAAAAATGGGCCTGGAGAGAGATAGAATGTGGTGTATGTGTGTGTTCATGTGGACATATTCATATGCCCATGCACATATATGCATGTATGTGGAGGCCAGAGATGATGTTGGCTGCCTCTATTGCGCTCCATTTTTACAGGACTTATTTTTTATTCATATGAAGCGTGTGTGTGTGTGTGTGTGTGTGTGTGTGTGTGTGTGTGTGTGTGTGTGTGCGCGTGCGCGCGCATGCCCAAGGAGTCCGGAAAAGAGTGCTGGAGGCCCTGGAACTAGAGTTACAGACAGTTGTGGGGTGACTGCTGTGGGTGCTGGGAACTGGTTTAAGGTACCCTGGAAGAACGGGAAGTACTCTTAACCTCTGAGCATCTCTCCAGCCTTACCTTATTCTTTAGTCAGAGTCTCTCAGCGAGGCCAGAGCTCACCAGTTGGCTAAGCTGGCTGGATCCTCCTATCTTTAGCTCCCCAACACTGGGGTTATAGACATGCTCTACCATGCCTGGCTCTCACAAGGGTGCTAAGAATCTAAAGTGGGTCCACAGCAGGCACTGACTGACCCATGCCTTCCTCCTTGTCCCTCCAGTTTGTAAGTCTCAATTTTTCATTGATTTAATTCTCAGTAAAGCTGGAGAGCATAGCTGCAAAATAGGGGAGACATGGATCTCAGGAGGGCAATTAATAATATCCATGTTGCGTCTTATGTTATTAATGGGGTGTGTTGGGGCAGGGTCTTTAGCTATACGTAGACCATTGTTCCAGTACATCCGTACTAGAAAAGCTAGCCATCCAGAGAGGCCATGAGGTGGATTCCTGGAAACTGGATAGTAACAGTTTCAATCCCACCCAGAGGGCAGCATCTCTCTCTCCCTAATGGAGAATCAGTAAGGAAAAGGTTTTGCAAGACTGACAGGGCAAATCCACCAGCCCACTCGGTATGATAGAGGTTTCCCAAGTCTCACCATGTGCCAACCTCCATAACACTTACTGAGCTGACTGAAATATTGCAGTCCTTGCTTTGGCCTGGCCCCCACTGATTCCAAGGCTGTCTGGGGATTGATTGGTACTGTCTGGACATGCTTTAGTTGGAAAGGAGGAGGCAGAAAAAAACATGCTATCTCTGGACTTCAAAAAGTTCAGGCTGATAGACTAATAGAAAAACAGGTGGGGCTGAAGGGATGGCTCAGCAACTGAGAGAGTACTTGCTGCTCTTACAAAGGGTCAGGGTTTGTTTCCCAGCACCTACAAAGTGTAGTGCGAGCACATGCGCGCGAGCACATGCTTACTCGCACACACACACACCCTAAACACGCACCAACACACAGGCACACAGTGGCTCAAACCATTGGTAACTCCAGTTTCATGGAATCTGACCCCTTCTCCTGGCCTCCATGGGCCCCAGACATGTATATGGTACCTATACATATATGCGGGTAAACACCCATACACATACAATAAATAAATCTTTTACAAATGAAAAACAGCTGTGTACCTAATAACAGTGGGAAGAAAAGGAAAGAGCACACAGGAGAGAGGGTGGACGGAACACAGAGGAAGAAATGGTCATTTCCGCTGGAGACCTCAACAATAGGAAGAGGAGGGAAGGGCAGTCAGGAGGAGTAGTCCCTGTACTAACAAATCATTGTGTCCCTGGTTCATGTGCACCAGCCACTGTCATAGCTCTAAATGTGGCACAACCTTGACTCTTGAGCTGCTGGGGGGGGGAGGGGTAAAAACATAAAAGGAAAGCAACCGAGGAAGGAATGGCAAGAAAAACTTTCTTGGGGGAAGGGTTGCTTAAGGGTGGATCTTGAGGGTAGTATAGGAGTTCAGCTGTGGAGAGTAAGATCCAACTTCCTCTTCCTAGCACAGAAGTGCAGAGGGGGTTGGCTCCCTTGGGCCTGCTTGGAGTCATCAGGACTCTGAAAGGTCAGCAAGCCTCTCCCATTGTAGCAGGTAAGATCAGAGCTCTCTTCCCTATTGTACAGGGTCACCGGAGGAGAGGGAAGCCTTCACCAGGGCCAACCACCTGAACAAACTGGCAGAGAAGGAGGAGACAGGGGTGGCCATGAGGATCCGTGTGGGCGAGAGCATGAACATGGGCAACGACTTTGATGTGTTTGCCCACATCGGCAATGACACCTCTGAGAGCCGTGATTGTCACCTCCTGCTCTGTGCCCGCACCGTCAGCTACAATGGGGTGCTGGGGCCTGAGTGTGGCACTGAGAACCTCAACCTGACCCTGGATCCCTTCTCTGGTAAGGCTCTGCCCGTGTGTGTCTCACCTCCCAGACCCCTGCCTGGCATCACCAGGGCCAAGCACCATGCTAAGCACTTTCTTAGTACCATGGTGTGTTAATGTGCGTGCGTGCGTGCGTGCGTGTGTGCATGCGTGTGTATGTTGTGTGAGGGGGGAACAGAAGGCACCACAGGTGTCGGCCCTCAAGCACCATCCACCTTGTATTGTATATGACAGGGTCTCTCACTAGCCAGCTAGTCCCAAGGTCCTGACTAGGGACCCCCACTCCTCCCAGCACTGCAATTACAAGCCTGGCATTTTTTTTCCACTTGTGTTCATTCCAGGGATAGAACTCAGGTTCTCATGCTTGCAAGGCTGAGACTGAGTGGACTCCCCAGCCTCCCAGCATGCTTAATCCTTACATCTAAAAGAGAAATGGGAGCCAGCATGATGGAGCATACCTGCAATCCCAGTTCTCTGGAGGCTGAGGCAGTAAGATTGACAGTCTGAGGCCAGCTTGGGCTACATAGTGAGATCTTGTCTCAAAAAAACAAACTATAACAACAATAACAACAACAACCACAACAACAGCAAAAAACAAAGGTGTGTGGATTCCATCACTGCACCCATTTTCTAGATGAGGAGACGGAGACACAGAGTAGTCAAGTCAGGAGTTTGAGCCTATCTTGTTTCATGGCATCTTCCCATGACCCTGCTGACTTTCCCAGACACTGTTCCTCTGCCACAGCTAATTCCATTCCTCCATGTTCTCCTAAAATTGTTCTGGGCCCTGAGGTCACACACTGAGATAGCAAAGTGCCAGGACACAGTCCATCTCCATAGCCTATCCATCACTGGTCAGTGTGGATTTCATGTACTGTTTTCCTAGCAACACTCAGTAATGAAGAGCCAGTGTGACCTGCCTAAAGAAGGGGGAGGCCCAAGCTCTCCCTACTCCCACCCCTGCCTACACACAGCACTCCAGGCCCTCCACCCAGCACTGGCATAGCTCAGCTTCCCTGGGCAGACAGGCCTGTGTTTGAAGCCAGCCCTTCACTCTTCTCTCCCAGGCCTGGAAAGCCCCCTTAGCCCCAGGCTGGGGTCCCAGAACTGACACTTTTGAAAGATGCATTCCAAAGCCAGCTGAACTCACATGGCGTTCGCCTCTACCACCTTCACAGTGCACAGTGCACAGGCTGGCAAGGTGACCACACCCTTCGTGTGAGGCAGCAACACACACACCTGATGAACAGATCTGGGGACTCAGAGCAGATGTGGGAGTCACTGTGGCCAGGACCTGGTGCCCTGCTTCTGCTTCAGTGTGACATCCAGAGAGACTGAGAGGCCGGGTCTTTCCTAGCACTGTGGTGACAGGAGGCAGGATCAGCTCAGGGTATCTCTGCCACCTTGATGGCATGGGAAGAATACAACTGACACCACGGTGTCTGGATCCCAAGAGTAAGGGGCAGGGCCTCATCACCATGGCTACATGGGGTAGCCTGGATACCCAAATTCTAGTTGCCACCACCTGCTGCTATTGCCCTGGACGTTTCTCTTTCCCATACAGGTCACAGGCCCCCATTTGTACAAAGGTCAGTCCATCTTTTAAGGCCTTCCAGCCAATAACAGTCACTTGAGCCTTTAAATGAGCTACTCTGAGGGAGACAGTGATGAACCTGGGCCAAGCCTAAATGCCAGTTGCCTTACTCTCAGCCGTGGAGTCACCTCTGCCCCACAGATAGCATCAGAGCGCCTGCATTGTATTGCAGGAGCTCCAGCCAGGCACATGGTTCAATTGAGGGTGTCTTGCCTGCCAGGAATCCATGAGGGACGGCACAGGGAACAGGAAGGACAGGACAGGAGCTCCGTGTGCTGGGCTTTGGCTGGAAGGCACAGCTAGTCCAACATGGCCTGTTGGGGCTTCCAAATCCAAGGAGCACTTGAGATGGATTCTTCTCCCTCTTTGGCAGCATTGCTGGCGATTATCGCTCTTTGATGATACGATCTACGTACTTCCATGTGCTAATGGACAGGAAGCCAGGCCCAGGACAGTTGAATGGAGTCCAGTTGTCCCAGCCTGACCGCAGCCCAACTGCTCTCCCCTTCCTCCACCCAGCTCTCTCTCTCTCTCCTCCCTCAGCCACCAGCAGGTCAGGAAAGTAGTCAGTGTGGTTCTGGGACCATCCCCAGGGGACCTTCTAGAACAGGGCATAATGTTCAAGGGAGGACTAAGGCTGACCACATTCAGTTTCTCCTTCCAGCCAGCATTTGTCCCAAGGCCAAGGCCTGGTTACTGACCTGTGAACATTGGCTCTCCAGGACCTGGCCTGGACTGGCATTCTGCCAAAGCCCACAGTTGTAGCCACATCCTCCTCGTGTCCACTGTTTCCTCTTTCTATTATGCCCCCAAGGTGGGGCTGCTCATTCCAGTCTTTTGTCCCCCTGGGCATGGGGGTGGGGGTGGGGTGGGGGCTTTGCTCTCCAATCATGTCATCAGGCTGGAGTAGATCCCTCTGGGGATGATGCAGCTGGGAAGGCCACCCCACTGCCTAGTTTCTAAAGCCTGTGCCACCTGCTGCTTGAGCCAACAATGAGAAGGCTATTGTCCCTCAGCTTTGTCAATCCTCCAGCTGACCTGAGTGGCAGCCCCATGGTGGGAGCAGCTCCGTGCTAATTTGCCTTTGGCTCCACAGCCCTTGTGAGTCCCCTCATTATCAATTAGCCCTGGCCCCTGTGACATCAATGTCCTGCTAGAGTGCAGGGAGCAAGAGTTTGTTGGTATTTATTTATATTTATTATGGTGTTAGTTTGAAAATCTTTTAGCCAAAGATAATGGTGATGGTGGTGGTGGTGAAAGGGATTTGTCCTGGACCTCAGTGAAAGAGGAAACAGAATGCATTGTGCAAGCCAGATCCCAGCTCTGGCTCCTTTCTCGAAACCTTCCTTCATCTGAAAGACCTTTGCTACCCCAGGCCTTCGTTTTCTTGCCAGAAAGATGAGATTAAGCCCACTCTCAGTCCCTAAGCTATGTGCCATTTTTCTGCAATCATCTCTGGTTGGAGCTCTGCCCTTCATATGCTGAGTGACCCCAACTGGTTGGTTGGTGAGCACTTCCTGGCAGAGGCATGTGTTCATCTATAAAATGGGTCAAGGCTGTGGACTCAGTGGGGAGTGAGTTCACCCTCAGAGGGCAGGTGATGCCGGGGATCTGACTCAGATGCCTGGGTGGCATGTTCAGCTGTGCGATGATGTATGGCAATACCATTTTACTTGCCCAAGCCTTGGTTTCCTTGCCTGTAAGCCAGGTGATGATCCAAGCATAGCCATGCTTGGGCTGTCAAGAAGGTAAAATGGGAGGCACTGGGAGAGGTGTGGTGTCTGGCATTCAGCTGCTGTCCTCCCGCTGCAGCAGCCTGGTGCCTCTATGTCCCATTCAGGAAACCCTTCCTAGCCTCCTATACTGCTCAGGTACTATTAATAGGTCCTAGAAGGTGGACACTTGCCAGTTCATCGGCTCGAAGGAACAGAGGCAAACTGGGAATGCTACTCAGTGAGAGAGTGCTTGCTCGGCACGCATGAGGCTCTGGGTACTGTCCAGGTGTGGTGGTGCATGTCTATAATCGCTGCAGTTGGTAGGATCCAGCCCTCACAACTCACACATCACACGGCCCTCCCTCTCCTCATCACAGAGAACACCATCCCCCTTCGCATCCTCTACGAGAAGTACAGTGAGTGCCTGACAGAATCAAACCTCATCAAGGTGCGGGGTCTCCTTGTCGAGCCAGCTTCCAACAGTTACCTACTGGCAGAGAGAGACCTCTACCTGGAGAATCCCGAAATCAAGATCCGGGTAAGGAGCATATGGGGCCCCAGGACAGACAGCCCACGGCTGGGGAAGAGGCAGCCTGCATATATGCACACACCTGCTTCCCTGCAGCCTGGAGCCTTTCTGGGCCTCAGGAGCCTTGTGGAAAGGGGGTATCAGAAAGCTAAGAGAATGCAGGACTCAAGCCTCTGGAAAGGGCTCTTAGAGCCCTGGGGTTGGGGGATAGCCAGGTATCCTTAAAAAACCAGTGTACCCATTTTGGTGATACTGCTGGGGCCAGGGAAGGGAGGCAAGTATGGTGGGCCAGGATTGTGCCTGGGTGGCACTGAAGATGCCATTTCACCCTTCTGAGCCCCAGTTCACTCCTCTGTGGGACCCGGTCAATGTTGGCACTCAGAATGCTGTGAGAATCCAAGTGTGGCCACAGGAAGCATCTGGGGTGTGCCCTGCATGTTTGGAGACTAGGTGAAAGCGAACTGTGCCATCACCACCATCTTCTTCCTATCCCTCTTCTGAGGTGCCCCTGAGCCCCAGATGCAGTTGCTCTAGAGTGCCTTGTAGTCACTGGATCTGCCAAGGGCTGCACGCTTAGCTTCCTTGTCCTGAAGAACTGGCAGCTTTCATAGAGCTCAGAGAGGGTCCAGTTTCCACAATATCACACAGTAGAGAAGGACAAGGTCAGTAAGCTCCAGTCTTGACCTGTCAGATTCGGACCCCGGGACACAGGAGTCCCTTCATATACCCCCAGGGTCCTGGGGAGCCTCAGTAAAGCTCCATGAAAGAGAGCCAGGGAGTAGCCATCACCTGCATTTTGCAGATAGGAAACAGGCACTGGACGTGTCAGAGCTGGGAACAGCTTCATTTAGCAAACACTGGGACAGATTCTGTAGGCACCCAGCTTGGCCCCCTGCTCCAACCTTCATCTTCCCCTCCCCCTGCAGATCCTGGGGGAGCCCAAGCAGAACCGCAAGCTGGTGGCTGAGGTGTCTCTGAGGAATCCACTCTCTGAGCCCCTGAATGACTGCATCTTCACTGTGGAGGGGGCTGGCCTGACCAAGGAGCAGAAGTCTGTGGAAGTGTAAGTGTTGGGAACCTAGGTCTCAGAGAGGAGGAGGCTGGAGCCAGGAGGTGCCCTTGAACCCAGCCCAGCCTGCAGCCCAGGCCACTCATCTCCTGTTCACCTGCATCTATACCCTAAACCCCAAGCCAGAGTGCCCACAGACGTCCTTTCACCTCTCACAGTGTGCTAACTGCAGTTAGCATTCCCACACCAGCACACACCTGACCCAAGACACATCAGTCACAGTGGGCTGCCTCCGGAGTCCTCACAGACCATGGGTGCCCACACATGTCTCTGTGCATAAGGGCACACACAGGCATGGGTGTGTCTTCATCTATTCGCATCTATACACGCCCGTGTAGGAACACATGCTGTTTTTCTTTTCCAGTGCCATATAGCTCGCACAAGCAAAACAAATGGAGTGCTGCACAATCCAGATGATGTGTTGTCTCTCCTGTAGCCACCGAGCATGTCCATGTCACCCCTCCCCCACCACCCACTGCCAGCACACATGGGCACATATGATTGCCCATCCACAAGCAATTTTCCCATTCACACCTGTTCATACATGTACACACATGAGCATATACACTTACTGTCTCATACACACCCAAACATGTACACACTCAAATGTGCGCACGCGCGCGCGCGCACACACACACACACACACACACACACCCACACACACACACACACACACACACACCCACACACACACACACACACACACACACCCACACACACACACACACACACACACACCCACACACACACACACACACACACACACACACACACACACCACTCTAGAAGGCCCAACTCTGTAAGTCCTGCATAGGCCATGAGAAGGACCCATCATCATCAATAGTGGCCTTAGTTGTCCTCCTCAGAGGCCCTGGCCTAAGTCTTTGTGTCTCTTCACGGGTGCCCCATGCTTCACATGGCAGCCGGGCCTGTCTCCTCACCCTCTTTTTTCTTCAGCCCAGACCCAGTGCCAGCAGGAGAAGTGGGCAAGGTGAGAGTCGACTTCTTCCCGACTGAAATTGGCCTCCACAAGCTGGTGGTGAACTTCCAGTGTGACAAGCTGAAGTCTGTAAAGGGCTACCGGAACGTCATCATTGGGCCAGCCTAAGGAACCCCTTCACCAAGCTCCACCTCACCTGCTGCCAACCCTCAACTCAACCTGGTCTTTATCCCGAGATAATGAGCAACTTCACCCCTTCAGGTTGACATGGCTGCCTGGGGGCTCTTTGGAAGGAAATGCACTTCCTGTCCATTCTGTTCCTCTGGTCTAGTTCCCCATCTGTCCCCTTAGCTGTGAGGAATGTTTGATGCCAACACAGTGGGATCCCTAGCCTTGGCAGACCAGAGCTGGGGGAAGAGGAGAACCATTGCCAGCACCCTGTGTTGTTCAAACTGTCCCTAGATCGTCAGAGAAAGTGCAAAGGGATGGTGAGCCCTCTGGCTCAATGAAGGAATCAGCTGCCCCGGCCATCAGTATCCCAGCCACCTCCCCTCTGAAAGGGAACTACTATGTACTAGGCACCTCAAGTTCTCACAGGGCCACCAGCCTGTTTAAAGTTCACGAGAAACTGCAGGATGGAAACCGAGGCTGCCCATGTTGTGCTGTGTCAGTAGGCTGGCCATCACTTGCATGACCAGTGAGCGAGCCTGGAAACAGGGCCTGTGCCATCTAGCTTGAACTCTAGTACTCCATCTGTGACATCAGCCCTGACCTGAGAGAGTCAGAGAGGCCACATGGGACCAATCTGGAAGGACACAGTTGTCGTGAGGAGGTAAAGAAAGGGCAGCGAGGCTGGGGAGCTTGGGAGTCGGAGCCTAGGGTTGAACCCCAAGGAGAGCCATACTTTACCCTCCTCTTCTGGGCTTGATGCTTCTTCATCAAAGCAATGATTGGTGATCCCATCTCCAGAGTCCTATGGTCCTATGCTTCTGAAGCCTGCCACCCAGGTCCAGGGCACGCTGGGAAGGAGGCAGTAGCACCAGGCCTGGACCTGGACCGTCCTGCTTCTCACCTATGCCCGGGCCCCTCAGATGCAGTTCCAGAACTACTCATAAGCTGCCTGCAGTGCCTAGCCTAGACTTCACAGGAGGAGCCTTAACTGTCCCTGCTGGTCACTTCCACCAGGGCCACGCCTCCATCAGCCTGCACCCCCAGGCACAACACTTGTCTACAAGAAAGCATGGGAGCCTATGGGTCACCATCCCTTACTACCTCTCCATGGCTGGGCCCTCAAACTGGAAGACTTCAGAGCAGGGGAGCGTTCTCTGGGTGACAAGATCAGAGGATCTGGGACTCCCTGAAATCCCAGAGAAGAGCTTGAGGAGAATCACACTGTTGCCTTTAACACTTTCCGCTTTACACAGAGAATTGCACCGTAGCCATGTGTCTGCCCCATTACCACACAGCTCTGCTTCTGTTGGTTTGTGCAAGCTTTGGGTTCCAAGCAGGCAGTAGGCATGCTTTTGAAGCACACGTGAGCACTGAAATAAAGGTCTATTTTTCACATTAAAACAAGGTCTGCCCTTATCCTTTGGGAGTTTCTGGGGGGGGGGTGGAAAGGCTCGCTCACACCTGTGCCCACTCCCTGTTTCCTCACCCAAGCTTTAACCTGGCCCTACAGTTTCCTGGCACTCAAGGCTCTACACACTAAGCCCTCCCACTAGCAGAGCCAGGAACTTCCTGTGTCCCCCAGTGTTCTTTCCTCTCATGTACCTCTTAGTTTTTGCATGCTGTTCCCTGTGCCAGGAATACCCTTCCTTGTCTTTCCTTATCTGCTTGGCTTAACATGAAGGTCACCTTTGGTTGTGTGCTGGGGTAACAAACCATGGTATGGTGGTGCCCATCTATAGGCCCAGTTCTAGGGATATAAATTTCAGTTCACTGGCCAAACAGCTTAGCTTACTTGGTGAGCTCTAGGCCAATTAGAGACTATCTCAAAAACAAGATGACCAGTACCTGAGAAATGACAGCTGAGGGTTGGCATTTGGTACACACAAACATGCATGAGTGTGCACACACACATATATAATGCACATACAGACACACAGATGCATGCACACCTACACAAACATGTGCGTGCATGCACACACACACAAATGTAGAATAACCCCAACATCACATTTCCTGGGTGCCAAGTCCCTGTGATCCCTGAATGCTGTATTCCTGTGCTGGCTAGGGTGGCTTAGGTGTTGTCTCAGTGAGTGATATGCTAGAACACAGGGCCAGCAAGATGGCTCAGCAGGTAAAGGTACCTACCACATGACTTAACCCATATTGTGGAAGAGGAGAATGGACTCTTGAGAGTTGTCTTCTCATCTCCACATGCGAATGCATACACACAATAAATGAATGAATAAATAAATAATAAATAAATAAATAAATAAATAAATAAATGTAGCTGTCTTTTCCCATGGAGAAGGGTTCTAAAATACCTGGAAGGCATTGAAGGCGCAGGAATCTGGAAGGCCTGGGGTGGCAAGGGCTATCTCACTGTGGAGGGGTTACCACAGAGGCAGGCTGGTCTGGCTAATCCTGCTTCCTATCGCCTGCTGGCAGATACTTACTGGACATCAGGTGGTAAAGGACTCTGGGAAACTCCCCTGGAAAGCAGAGGAGGTCAGGCAAGGAAAGGATGGGCTTGGGTGGGACCTACTGTCATTGACTCTTCCTGTCAGCCCCACATGGAGGACTCTTACTGGGCTTCGGAAACCCGGCCCCAGGGAGGCCACCTCTCTGAGGTCTCCCTAGGCTGTACCAGATGCTTCTGCCTTTGCGAGTCTCAGGCAGATGTTTATGCAGGTGGCAGCCAGGGTTGTGATCAGTCATTTCTGCACATGACTGTTCTCTGGATGCTAGAGAGCAGGGGCAGACTCACAGCAAGAGGATTCCAGGGAAGTCAAGGCCACCAACTCTGGCTCCCTGCCTGCCTGCTCACCCCTAACATGGAGGGACCAGGCTGCCCCAGCCAGCTCTGCTGTTCATAGCTCAGATGACTTGTGCCCTTTCTCTTGCTTACCCTGAACTCCCCACCCCAAAAAACACTCCTACTTATTGCTTGTGACCCAAAAGTACAGCTACAGTCGGGGCAAGTGACCCAAAAGTACAGCTACAGTCGGGGCAAGGTCTCAGCTAGAAAAATGCCTGCCACACAAGCGTGAGGATCCTTAGCACACACATAGAAGCTGGGTGCACAGCACCCAAGTTTGCAGTCCCAGCACTGGAGAGAGAAGCTGAGCAAGCAGTGGATCTTGGGGTCAGCCAGTCTGGCTAAATCATGATCTCTGGGTTCAAGGAAAGGCCCTGTCTCAAAAAAGTAAATGGAGAGCCGTTCAGGAAGAAACCTGACGTTGACCTCTGGCCTCCATGTGCACACACACACACACACACACACACACACACACACACACACACCAGGTCCACTGCCTACTTAGAATACAAAAGTTTCAATAAAAGCCTAGAGAAATAGGGCTGTTTGTACAGGACAGACACGCTGGCTCCTGTTTTGGGGCTTCTGTGGAGAGGCAGAGTGTCTCAAATGTGTTTATGTGGTGCACTTCCACATCTGCCTCTGGGATTTTAGAAACCCTGGAGGTTGTGGAGTTTCACCTATTTGTAGATACAGGAATGGAGGGACAGAGAGGTTAAGCAATTTGCCCCAAGTCACACAGCTGGTAGGTTGCAAAACTGAGCCTTAGTCTATACAAGCAGTCATGCCCAGCACAGAGAGTGGCATGACAACCTGTTTTTCCCAGCATTCTCCTTGCTCACCAGGGACCAGGGCTCCTGGGATGGAGGCCTTCATACATGCCTGGCAGTCCTTGTGGAATGGGGGGGTCAGGTCCCTCCTCCTACCCCAGGGGCCTCTTTCTGTTCCAGCTGCTCTTGTTTGCCTAGGATGTCTGCCAGCTCACCCCTCAGCCTCCAGCCAAGCCTGGAATGACAGAAACCTGATGGAGTCCAAGAGAGAGGGTGGGGTGGGGCCAAGCCAGTGCCACCTCCAAGCACATTTACCTTGGGGCTGGTGTAACAGGGAAACCCAGTCAAAAAAGCTAGCAGCTGGAAGACATGTAGCTGGGACAAAGAAAAGATTTGTTCAGAAAGCCAAGAAACTAAAGAAGATGGAGGTGCCTCCAGATACTACCACTGTGCCTGGGCTGCAGGCACGTACAGACAGAGGGCCGTGTGGGCAGATCGACTGGGGGTGGGGTTGTGCTTTCTCCCAAGCTGCCCTTATCTGTAAGCTACTGGGTACTCTGGGTTCAGCAGGTCTAAAGAAAAGTTACTGATTAGGGAAGTGTGTGACTCGAGTCTTTTTGGTTCCTTTCCTGGCAAAGGTTTTCTACAGTTAATTATTAGGTTCCAAATGGTTTATTTTCTCTTGAAGACAAGGAAAGGGAAAAGCCACTTTGGAAGCCACCAGGGGAAGAAAAGACAAGTTGTATATGCTGCTATTATTGACAGCCAGGCTGGAGTATTATGTAGGGTCTCCCCTGCTTCCTCCTGAGCACAGGCCGGAGCAAGTACACAGGGACTAGGAACCCCATGCAACCCGTGGGTTCTGGGACACGAGGGAAAAGAAACAGCCCATCTAAATGAAAAGCTGTGCCCAAAGAACAGCATGTCTAGCCTTGAAGAACAGGGTCAGACTCTCGGTGAGTGCTGAGAAAAACTGCAGACACAAAACAACGCTTGGTAACTCTGTTCACATGAACCCACAGCCACCAGTCAGAGAAGCAGAGTCACAGGTCACAGACTCACCCAACCCCCAGCAAGCAAAAAGGAGCTGGAATCCAACTGGCTCACATCGCTCTGAAGAATGGCCTAAAGAGGAGGGGAGAGGATGTGGGGAGGGTAGGGAAGGGGTGACTTGTTTCCTGAACCCTGGAAATTGGAAGTCCTGAGTTTATCCACACATTGTTTCCCCATCAGCAGCCCCGGGGGCTGAGAAAGTAAAGGTCAGAAGACCAGACTGATAAATATGGAGTTACCCTATGACCCAGAAATTCCACCTGCAGATATTTATCCAAGAGAAATGGAAGCATGCATGCACACAGAAAGTTGTTCAATAATGTCCACAGTCACATCATTCATATTGGATAAAAAGTGGAAGCAACCCAACTGTCCATTAACTTAAGAGACAAATAAATATGGTGTATATATCATGGAATGTAGCTCAGCAATGAAAAAGAACAAAGCCCTGAGACACGCTACAGTAAGGAAGAAAACATCTCATAAGTAGAAGAAAACAGAAACGAGAGTTATCAGAATGTGTGGTCCCACTTACAGGGAGTAGTAGACATGGAAGATGGGTGGCTGTCCGGGGTTTGAGGAATGGAGGGATGGGGAATTAGGACTAAAGCGGGTAATGGAAATGCTGTACACTGTACCGATAGATGCAGTTGTCTGGATTGGAGCCATTAAACTGTGTACTTTAAATGGGTGACTTGCAAAGCACTGAATTCTATCTCAATAAAGCTGTCTAGATAATTAATATGAGCACAGAGAAGGAAAAGGTTGAGCTCAGAGCAGCGGTCTGGTATTCTGCCTGGGCATGATCAGGGAAAAGCTCACCCCCTCCCTGGGTCTTTGTTATTGCTGCTGAGGGAGGAGTGCCATCAATTTGGGAGCATGTTACATTTTTCATGACAGCTGTCAGTGATTATGTGTACTCCAGCCCACAGGGTAAAGTCAGCAGGCTCCGGGGGACCTTGGTAAACACCTAGTCACTCACCACTACCTGGCCATCTGCAGGTCACCCTTAACCTACACACTTCACAAATGGCCAAAGAGCTGCCCTAGACGGCATTCTCAGCCACTGCCCTAGGTTGGGAAGTATTGAGCAGTGTAGTACACACCTGTAATCCCAGTACTGAGTCTATGGCAGGAGGATTGTGAGTTTGAAGCAATATACACAAGGGTGGAATTACCATGGGTGGCCCGGGCAGGGCTCCTTTGTTTAATCAGCTCCCTAGATAGATCAGAGTTAATAAGTGCTACACTTGGCTTTAGGGACCCAAGGTCACCATAGCAAGACTGCCCTATAGAATGTTCAAGCAGACTCCAGGGAGAAAAAAGATGAGCCAAAAAGGAGGGACTCGTGTTGAGAAGAGCAGAGATGTGGTATCAGTTCTAAGATGCAAGCTGAGGCTGGGAAAATGGTTCAGTGGGTAAGAGCATTTACTCTGAAGGTATGAGGACCTGAGTTTGAATCCCCAGCACCTATGTAACTGCAGCATTGGTCCTGGGTTCTCACATCTCCGTCCTGCTGTAGAGCAGCTGAAACAGAGGCTGAGAGGTTACTGCACAGGCCAAGGCCACACGGTTTGGAAACAGACGGTAGAGCCAGAGCATCAACCAGACAAGATGGCCCACAGTAACTGTTCCCAACTTCCCACCCTATCCTCACCTATCACAATGTTCTGTATGGTTCAGAGACTCATCTACTATAGTTGTAGTTTTAATTTTGAATGAGGGAGTTTATTAAGTAGATAGCTAAGTAGAGATCAAAACATAAT